TTCGTTCTTTGACCAATCATATGAAAGTTCCCGAAGAACTGAAAAACACTTGTACATTATAATATAGATTTTGAGCTGAATTTACTTCTCGGTTTTCACCTCTTTGCTTCAAAATTACATCTCGATTTTCTATGTAATATTTGTGTTTTTGTTCCAAAATTGTCTCACGATTTTCTTCGTAATATAATCTCTTTTGAGCTCTCATTTCTTCACAATTTCTTTCACGATATGTTTTCATATATTCTTTTCGTTTTTGTTGCTTATCTGCCATTTTCAACAACAAAACTTTAAAAAGTGTTAGTTTAGAGTTAATCAATTTTATTATAGACACTTAATATATATAATATACTTGCTGTTATTTCAAGTGTGATGTGTTTTTTTTCTTTCTCTGTTTTAATTCTATATTAATTCTATTTCCTACTCTCAATCTATGAACTGTAATTTAAGTACCTGTGTACTTTAATCTATATTTTTATAAATAATTTTATTTTTTTATAAATAGATAAATTTTTATGTTTAAATAAATATATTTTTAATAAAAATATGAACCTTTATTCTTTTTGTAAATAAGTTTTTATTTTTTTTAATATATAAATTTCTATTTGTTTTTAAATAAATAGGTTTTTTTTTGTAAATATATAAACTTTTATTCTGTTTATATAATATATAAATAACTATATAAACTTTTATTATGTTTATAAATAAATTTTTTTATTTTGTAGATGTATAAACTTTTATTCTGTTTATATAATATATAAATATATAAACTTTTATTATGTTTATAAATAAATTTATTTTATTTTGTAAATGTATAAACTTTTATAATGTTTATAATGTGAAACAAAATAAAATATGACTGACATATATATATTCATAATGAATGGACATATACGACGTATATCTATATATAATGAATGAACATATACGACGTATATATATATATGTATACTTTTTTTTTCGTTCTATGACCAATCATATGAAAGTTTCCGAAGAAAGTTTGTCTATTATAATATAGATGAGAGGCACTTCTTTATTAGTTTCTAACTTTTTTAATCAACAAGGCATTATATCTAGACTACATAGTTGTTGAGTGTATTCTATCGGTTTCGTAAATGTTTTTCTATTGTATTGTACAAGTAATCATTTTACATGTATCAAGCGGCTTTTCTGTCGTTGGACTGTATGAGTCCAATAATTCATATTGATTTTATTTTTTTGCATTAAAAAATAAAAAAAGAAGCAGCAGCTCAAGAAGAAAGATTTGTGGTAAATATAAATAAAATTTACAACATTTCACTAGAATCAGTCTTATTATGGTGGACTTGTTACAAGACCAGCAACACCTCGACCTAATTGTTGACCAGCTACTGTACTCTCTAATGGCTTAAAACCAATTTCTTCAATCGGAATACCAAATTGTCGTAATTTAGCTTCATATGTTCTTAATATATCATTATGAGCTTTACAAACACGAGCCAATTCATATTGTAAATCACGAATCTATAAGAAAGAAAAAAAATTCAGTTTTTTTTTTCAGAAACAATAACAGAAAACTTTTGATTTAACAGTGCAGAATTTGACTTTAAGATACATTGAAGATGAGTAATCTATAATGTAAACTATACAGCTAAGTATTGGTATCTGAATGAAACTGAAGCAAACCATTGATATATTTTTTTCGTCTACTCTTCTCTGACAAATAAGTTATTATATACACAACCGTTAGATTGAGTAGTCACAACTATTGTATTTTCTCAATCTTGATAAAGCCTATCACCCTGAGAATAGTATATGATAAAACTTGGTCATTTAATATGACCATGAAATGTCCTAATTGCATTCTTCGTAAATCCTAATCTTCATTCTTTAAAATGTCAATGAAACTATGAAGTTTTATCATATGATTTAGTTTAAAAAAATCATTGTGAGAATTCATACGGTTTTATAATAGAAGTAAGCCTTAAAACACTTACCGATGTATTTTTAGCATCAAGTACTTCCTATAATACAGTGAGAGAAAAAGCAAAGTTTAAGTAAAATTTTGTAAAACCTGGAAGAAAAGAATATTTACTTCTAGTTTTCGTGTAACAACTGATAATGATGCTGGATCAAGATTGGATGCTGATAATACTTCATTTAATTGAGCTTCTTTCTTTTCAAGACTATCAGCCAACGTAGATAATTTCTTTTCTAATAATAAATTCTTTAAACTACTCTTTTGTTGAACTTCATTAATAGCTTTAATAAATTTATTATAAAGATCATCACGTTCTTTTTGAATCTAAATGATACAAAAACCAAATTTTAATAATTATTAGCTACTAAAATCACAAAGAAAAACATACAATTTCAAATCGTTGTAATAAAACTTCATATTCCCATTTCGAATTTTTTAAATCACCTTCACAACTTTTCAATTGAGTTTTCTTACTCTAAATAGTTTAATGAATTTCTTTTATAGATAACGAAAAAAAATTTCAAATTCTTTATACTTCATATAAACTTTTAATTTTTTCATAATTTTCTGCTCGTCGTCTTAATTCTTCAGTTTCTTTTCTTGCTGCTTCAAGTGGTTCACGCATTTTTCGATTTTCATTTTCAAGCTCTGACATACGTTTTTCTAATCGTTCTTCTTCTTGTTTTTTCTTTTCAATTTCATTCTAAGAAAAAAAAAAAAAAAATAGACAATCAATATTGATATATAGCAAAATTAATTCCTTTTACTTTAAGTGTATTAATTAAATTAAGATTATTTAATGTAATATCATTATAATAATTTTTAATATCACTAAATGCTTTTTCATGATTACGTAAAAGATCATTAATTTGTTGATTTTTTCGTTCTTCAATTTCATGTATTTCAGTTTTACGACGTAATTCCATTTCTTCACGTAAATCACGTAATTTTTTCTCATATTTTTCTTCGATTTCACGAGCTTGTCGAAGAAAATCATCACGTAATTTTGATACATATGTTTCATTGGTCTAAGAATATATTTCAAGTAAAATATGATAAAAATAGATAAATAAAGAAATACAATCAAACCTTTTTCAAATTTCGTACAACTTCTTGTTGAGCTAATTCTTGATCTTTCATTTGTACTTTAAGTTCTCGTTTTTCTTTCCACATTGAATTTTCGGCTTCATTATGACCTTCTTGTGCTACTTTTAATTCAGCAATAGTTTCAGCTTTTAATTCGGCAATATTATTTTGTTGTTCATAAAGTAAATGTTTTACTTTTTGTTTGTAAACCTATATGTAAATAAAAATTCATTGAATTAGCTTTCTTTATCCAATAGAGAAGGATATTGTAGCATGGAGTGTTGTCTCGTGGCAGATCCAATAGTCCGATATTTTTCCTACAATTGTGATTAGTTATAACTCTTGACTTAATATATTCATAAACATTAACATGATCATGGGAATGTGACTCACTGATAGTTAGCCATAAAAACTAAAAGTTTTCGGACCATTTTTTTTCTCATCTATCAGACTTTGTGGGAACTATCTATGCTAATAATTTTAGTAATAAAAAGTTTTATGTTACAGAAATGATAGTACAAGAATCAGAACACCGAAAAAACGCAAGTAGATCTATTGATAGAGCTATGATGTTTTTAAATATTTTGACCCTAGCATCGCCTTATAATTGTCAAAAAAAAACTTTGGTTTTGACAAGTGATTATCCATGAAAGTACACAATTGTATTCTTAAGATTTTGGAAGTTTAGGTGATTCTCTAGTAAATTATTACTTTCTGAATTATCAGTTATATTCTTAAATCTCGCTTTGGATAGGCTTTCATTTGACATAAAAACATTCTTAGCCTTTTTAATTGTATTCTCTGAAAACAGATTTGCTGCAATCTTGCACAATAAAATCATCTTCATATAAATTATGATTCATACCAACTGTCAGTAGGTTAACGTAATATATTCATAACTTCTTTAAGTCTTTTCAATTCAATCTAGGTAATCGAAGCTAAGCTACACTTGAATGTCATGTTTTTCGATGTTTAGATTGATTCCAAAGATTATTGAACAAAAACAAGGTTTTAATGGAATATTATTGCCTTCTCTCTCTTATTAACTGTCTTCATGAATGATACACTGGATTCGATCAATACATATGTAATCGTATGGTTTTGCATCGACTTGATCTGTATTGTTTGCTCTTATAATATAGTATTAATGAATACATTAGACATACATCAGATAAAAAATAGTCAATGTCAAGATTTAAATAAACTTTGAACTCTTCTGATTCTTCTTTGTGATCATCTTGCATGGCAATGTTTCTTTTATTTTCCGATGATCTAAAACTTTATATAAATCTTACTTTAATCTCGGCTTGATGTTGTTCTTCTGCATCTTCTAATTCTCGATCTTTGTTACGTAATTCAGCTTTTTTTTCTTCAAGTTGTCGTTTTGTTATTTCCCAAAATGTACTGATACGATCACGCTCAAGTTGAAAATAATTTCTTTCTTCACGTTCACGATCAAGTTCTTCACGTATACGACCTAAATGTTCTTCTAATTCTTCTTTTGTCATCTAAGATTATAATAAATATTTTTATAAAATCAATTAAATAATTAAAGAAATCAAATAAAACAAACCTCAGCAGCTGGACGACCATCAATGATGGTCGGTGCTTTAGGTGATTTCTTCTTCTTGCCACCTTTTTTTGGAGCCTAAAATAATATTTCATGACATATTCTTCTATTTCAATTTCAAATAAAAAAATATTTTAGAAAATAAACATACCATAGCTGCACTATAAAAATGAAATTGAAATTCTTACAAGAAAGTCGTGTTTTACTTAATATGAAATGTATAACTCATTAATATTCTTCGTCTCTAGCAACATCCTCTTTGGTCTCGTTTGTTCCTATAGAGGTCCTTTAATATCATACATAAAAAAAATGATTGGTTCAAAAATTTTTATTGTACAAATTAAACACAATTTGATCATATTAGAATGAAACTTGTTCAGATTGTTACTATGATGATTTATATAAAGGTTTGGTTTGTTTAACATAGAGAATATGTTCATTAAGTGTTTGTTGTTCTTTTACGTATTGTTGTCTTGTAATAAATGTAAATAATGTAGTTGATGAATGATAATTTTGATTATAATCATTATGATTATTTTCTTTAGAAAATTTATCTTTTTCTATTAAAATCAAATGATTATTTTTATGTTGAGATAGAAGTTTTTCATTTGATATATTATTCCAAAGAGGATAACATGATTTAGGAGTTGATGGATTAAATATTCGATTCAGTATTTCATTTTTATTTATTATTTCAGATAGATTTTTATTTATGAATTCATTATCTTTTATTTTCTGTGATATTGGTAATTGATTTAAATGATAAAATGGTATCATTGTTGTAGTATTACTAAGTGGAATAATAACAAGGAAGAAGAATATTGAAACGAAGTATCAACTTACAGTTTATATTTTTTATTGTCATTGAAAAGAGTTGTAGTTAATAGTGATGTTTGTTTGTGATGTTCTGTTGAAATTTTATTCATAGAAATTTCAGTAGTAAAATCAGATATTTGATTGAAATTTGATGTAGATATTGATTCAAATTTATTCTTGCTAGTTGAAGTATTTAAAAGTACATAATCATGTTTAATTATTGAATTTGTTTCTTTTTCGAAATAGTTTTTATCAGTAGAATTAGTTTGTACTTTATCTATAAATGAATTAATATTATGTATTGATTGCATAGAACTTGATGATAATGAGGCTAAAATAAGAGTAATATAATTATTAGAAATTGACAAGTAGATTACAGAGTGTTGATAGAGATCTTTTCTCATGAGAGCATTTTATTTGTAATGATTCTAAGTTTTGTGGTTTGAGCTCTGTAGTCCCTGAAACAAAAAAAACAAGTAATTGTTGTTTTGCTGTTACAGGAACAATTTTTTCGTTATTTTGAATACCTAATTTTGCTAAAGAATCATTTTTATTTGAGTTAGGCAATGAGTTGTCAATTACCCGTGAAATGATTGATCTAGTACCTTGAAAAACCGAATTAGATTGTGTCTTATTAGATTCATTGATTAATAAATTAGACAGAAAAGATGATGAGATTACATCTAATGTGTTTCCTAATATTGAAATAGAAGAAGACATTTATAGCATATTTTCTTGATTACAGACATTTTCCTTATTTTGAGGGAAAAAAATTTCTACAAAGTAGAATCCGAAGGAGAGAGACAAAAATGTGGTAGGTCTGGGTATGTTAACCTTCTCTTTGCTCTAATATGTTTTATTAATAATCTTTTCCACATAATAAATTCTGCCTCGATTCTATTATGCAGCTGTTTTTGTCTCGCTCCGATTCTGTGTTGAGAACATTTTTCCTTGTTTAACTACAATAATAATCTCTACAATCTAGATGTAGTTATATATCGACTGTTTGATTTTATATTTTTGATCGTTTGAGAACCTGTGTTTGATAGCGAGGTAAGATTATTTGTTATCTTGTCGATAAGATGTACAATGGGAAATATGTTGTTAGATCCTTGTTGAATATGTGTAGATATCGAGTTTTCATAAGAATTTTCTTTATTTTTAAATTGATTTATTGGATTTAGAGAACTTGTGTTTGTAAATGATTGTTTTAATCGATCATTGGTAAAAGAAAAGTACTTTTTTCGTACTGAACTATCTTGTTCTAATAATTGTAGAGATCGAACATCGTTACTATTAGACTCTAAAGTTGTTGTTAGCTTTTTTGATCCTGTTTGAGCAAGTTGTTCAGCTAATGGAATATATTTCGATGGTGTAGTACGATGTTGATCATCTTGCCTTTGTGATAAGATTATAGATTGTGCTTTATCATTAGAATTTTTCATTTCAAATATTGGCATTTGAATAGAAGACAATTCTATTGAGTTAGCTTTAGTAAATAATATAGTATTGGCTTGTGATGATTGATGAACTTCACTGACAATATGTGTAGCTTGTTTCATTATACGACGAACAATTTTTTCAATTTGTTCTTGAAATTGATTTTGTTGAGATTTATTCATTGATGAATCAGATTGATTAATAACATAGTCTTGCGAGTATTCATCTGTAAAATATTTAGAACAATCAATAAATAGATGAACTTAAATCTACTGGGAAACGGAAAAATTGTTTTATTTTGAGTATTGAGATCGTTCATGATTCGATTGGATAGTAGTTCTTTATCTTTTGATAGAGGATTATTAGACTAAGCGAGAGAAATTGTCAGTAAATGAAAACTTTTTCAAAACAGTTTTTTTTGCAGAAACTCACCGATGCTGTTGAATTAATTACGTTGAACTTAGTATCGGATAGCATTTGCTGACCTATTTTTGGTGTCAGATTATTGTCTGAAGATAATTTTATGGACTTTGAAGTATTGGATTTTGGTCTTATTGGAAATATCTGTAATTATTATTCGAAAGAATATATATTAATTTGAATTTTCTTACAGCTGGTGTTGAAATGGGCAATAAGGCGTAAGATCGTTTAATAGCTGAGATACTTTTATCGTGTATTTTATTCAATGATATTTCATTTGTTTGGAATTTTTTATTTGAATCAATTGTTGACGATTCTATTATTTGAAGTGATTTATTTTGTATTTGTGCTTCTTTTTGTTTTTGTTTAATTGAAGCTAGAAGAATATTAGTATTGAGTTGATGTATAGATTTTGATTGTGTACTACGTAAAATTGATTTTCTTGGAAAATTATTTCCGATAGATGAGTTCGGGAAAGTTTGTGAACTGGAAACAGATTCATTTTTTTTCTCTTGTAAATCGTTTGATACGAAAATCGAACAAGGATGAATTTTTGTTTGATCATCGATCATCGCAATTGGTATTTTATTGTCAATAGAAGACTTGTATGAAATTAACATATCGATATTCATTAATGGTAACTCTTTTTCTCTTTCTGTAAAATAAATTGAAGTGAATATGCGAAAAAAAAAAACATGATCGAACAGATTCATAAGGAAAAAAAAGACTTTATACCCTTAGATTATTGCTGCAATGATATTACACTTTTACGGTATGTTTTGAATAAATGTTGTAGTCCTGAAAAACTGATTTTTGAATTTTGACTTAAAACTTTGTAGAGAGATAGGATTTAATAAGAGTAGTTTATTGTTACTGAAAAGCGATTTATCACTTAGAGAATTTCCCTGGTCAGTAAGTAATCGATTGGTAATTCTTGATTTTATTTTCAATTATCTTTTACATCTCAAAAATTACCAAGATTGGAATGAGATATAGAATTTGTTTCTTTGGATGAAAATTCTTGTTCTAAAATGATAAAGACATTAACATGCATTCATTTTTTTTTCTTTGAAATTTCGACACGAAACGAATTGATCTTTCATAACATTACCAGTCAGAGAAGTAAAATGTTGTGAAATAACATTTGTATTAGTCTGTGATCTTCCTTAATGAAATGCAACATGTTTTTTATTTTCATTTCAGCGAGTTTTAAATCTACATACTTGATTGAGCTTTATTTTCTATCGGTAATTCAGATGATGAAATTGAATCGAATTCTTGTGGTATAGAATTAGTGGTAATCTCTTTGGAATAGTTAATTTTCATTTGTTGATCTCGATTGTCTTTAGATTGCTGTAGTTCAGAAATATTGGATGATTCTATTGTTGATAGTGTTTTGTCAATCTTGTTGTGAATTTGATTTATCTCTAATTGTTTTGAATGTTCACTGTCTAATAATAAATTAATTTTAGGAAATTCATGTGATGTAGTTGTTTGGTTTGAATCTATATTTTGTATATTATTCATATCCAATGACGAACTGTTCTGTTTTGTTGATTGTATTGAATCAATATTAACTTTAAATTTTTCACCGAAAGAAACTTCATGAGGTAATAAACTAGTTTCTTCTTGCGTTAATGTATTGAATAATTTTAGACTTTCTTATCATAAAAAAATTACATGAAAAATATTTCTCAAAAAAAAAAACGAAAATTTACCTATTTGATCATAAGAAGAATTTGTTAATAAACTTTTTGATTTGTTTTTTTCAATTTTTAACTTTTTATTTTTTTCATTTATTAATTTCATATTGTGAATTCGTTTATTAATATTTTTATTATGAAATAATAATTTATATTTTTCTTCTCGTCTTTCTTTTGTTGAACAACAAATTGGTATTAAACCTTTATCAAGTTCTTGAATTTTTCCTAATTTTGTACTAAGTCCACATGTTGTCATTTTTGCTTGATATGATGTAAAGCCAATATCATTTTCTAACCATTGTTTAAAATTTTCAATATTATTTATTGAACGATATTTTGAATAAAGTGTTGTTAAATCATGTATACCAGATTGATTTAATAAATATTTATTTTTTTTACCAATACCTGGTACACATGTTAATGATGTATGTCCAATACAAAACACAAAACAACGATGTTTATTAGTTCGTATTTGTAAAGATTCAGAAATTGAATTTTTCGAAGTATAAAATTTAGATTCTGTTGAAATCATCAGAAAAAAAAAACAAAAATTCGAAAGAATCGAAAATAAAAAAAAAACACAATTTTGACATAGCAACATTAGATCATTTGATTTAACTTCTTTTTTTTTTGTTTTAGACTTTTTTCAGATATGAATCAATTATCTGCTGAACAAGGTGATTTCTTAGCTGAAGCTCAATTAGCATTAGATGATTTAGGTGATGGTATTGTTGCTGAAAAACAATTATCAAAACGTCTTAATAATCCAAATAATGTTTCAAAAGGATATTTAAATATAAAATCTAATGCTAATGTAGAATTTTGTATTGAACTAACACAAGCAGGTTATCGAGTTGTAGGTTATCATTTTGATGATAACAGTCAATCATCAACAACTTATTATGAATCATTACAAGCTCTATTAACACATGAATCAAGATCATATGTGGATAGTTTTGCTAAAAGTTTACAACAAAAACTTGTTGCTGCCCAAAATAAATTACAACAAGAACAAGATGATGATGAAGATCTTTGATAAAAAAAAATTGTATGATTAAAACATTCGTTTTTTGTTTTTTTATTTGTGGATTTTCTTTAAGCAAAAAAAAGCATTTTAGTAAAACATAAATACAAAAATTCATCTGATATTTTATTTCAACAAATAAGTGAAAATAATGGCTGATCAGAAAGTCTTCAGAAAAGACATTTGTTCACTTTTAACCGACTAGAAAGTATTTCCGACAAGTTAAAATCTATGAGTTAGAACCTGAATTCTATTCTCTTAGAATTTTCTCTATATTGTGCTTCGAAATTAAAACGTGGCATTTTTTTTTTGTTGTACATTAGCTTGTTGATTAAAAGCTATCCTACAAAATGTACTGCTTGAATTTTTTGCCTTTCAACAAGGCATTTCAATGCTCGTATCAAAGGATTAATATCACAAAGTGCTATGTACCTGACCTTGAATTATTGGAACAATAATCAAAACTGAATTTGAAGAAAATGACAATTAGAGACGGAATACAATCGTTTTGATGAAGAAACTTTATAAAATACATATTTCATATGCGATGACATACATTGGTGCGAGATTTGTTATTCATGTTCTTTGAAATAGCAGCATTACTTTCTTGGAAAAATATTTTAACGTTTCCTGTAGTATCATTCATAATGTTCGTTTCGATTTTGTCTTTGTATTCTCTTTGATAACAACTGAAAGTTATCTATAAAACGTTACAGATGTATTTTGCCCTACTTGATAACAACCGCAGTCTGACTCGAGTCGAATAATAAAAAAAATGTTTGAATCTTCAATCGGATTTGCAGTCTAAACATTTTGCAGACAAGCTTTGTCAATGTTGCTTTCATTTAAAAATCTCTATCAAAGAACGTGAAAAAGTATTGTAGAACAAGTTATGCACCATATGCTCTTTTCTTCTACTTTATCGTCTTATCTTTACTGACGTCGAATAACAATGTATAGCGAATACAATATCTGCTCAATGACAATACAGGGATCTTAGACAAACTCCAGCTCGGACTACAAAAATTTGACCCATGTCGAACATTGATAGCAAGCATAATACTTCATAGTTATATTAGATGACTTTATCCGAATAGAGAAGGTTTTGAATAAACTTCTATTATTAAACAAAAAAATCAGCCTACTTGATTGAATCAAAGCAGAAACATTGCATTTTTTTTATCGTAGTAATATTTATAGACCAACCTGCATATTTCTTGCATTATAATAAATACACAGATAAAGTAGTCAATCATTCAGGGAGGTTCTGCGATGACACCATAGAAAATGTACAAAAACCGAACAAAAATTTTCCTATTTATCTATAAAAACCATATTTTTCAAGAAGAACGGAGCCTTGAAATGTTTGATCGATAACTGAGGGCATCTATTGATAAGTCTCTGCATCATATATGGGAAAATAAGTATAATATGGACTAATGAATAAACTTGAGTTTAGCTAACCTTAACTTAGGCTAACTTCATACAATCTCGATTCCTACAACTATTGACGTTAATCCAAAATGATTTGTTTCACTACTTGTTTTGTTTTTAAAGATAATCAATCTTATTATATAAATGTTTCTAATCAAGAAGCTTTTCTTTGAATAGTTGCATTAAAAAAAAAGTAGTTGAAAACTTCTTATTTTTCTTCGCAAAACTTATTCAACAAGGAATCTTTGCCTTACTAAAAATATTTGACTGTGAAATTATCCAATAAACAGAGAGAGCGTCCATCTTTTCTTACATTATAAAATTTATTTATAATTTAAAGTTTTTTTTTTTTTTGTTAAAATAACAATAAAACTCACTATCGAATAGATTTATCTATAACAATAAACAAAATTTTCATTTGAAAAAAAACGTTCTTTTTTTTTTTGTTTATTTCTGATGCTTCATTTATCATTAATATTAAATCTTCGACAATTACCAAGAAATATTCTTTATACAACTCGTTTTACTCATACAATTTATCCTTTAACAATACGTGAAATATATGATAAAAAACCTTTAAATCAATCAATAAATTTAATCGGTTATCTTCTCAATGTAAGAAAATTAAAAACACATTATTTTCTTGATCTATTCGATGGTTCATTAACAAATAATCAAAAACATTTACAAGTTGTTGCATCATTAGATAAACATCCACATTTACCTCATTTAACATATGGTTGTTCAATCAATGTACAAGGTAAACTTGTTCAAAGTGATCATCCTAAACAAAAATTTGAATTACAAGCTGATAATATTAATTTAATAAATTCATGTGATGCATCTGATTATCCATTTAAACCCAAATTTGAACAAACATTATTAATGTTACGTCAAAATGAACATCTTCGTTTACGTTCAACATTTTCACAAGTTATTTTTCGTTTACGAAGTCAATTAATGTTTAGTTTATATGAATATTTTTTTAAACATAATTTTATTCATATTCAAACGCCATGTTTAACACAAAATGATTGTGAAGGTGGTGGTGAAACATTTCAAATTCAACCATATCAATCACAAACAACTCGTATAGAAAAAGAATATTTTAATAAACAAGTTTATTTAACTGTTTCAGGACAATTACATCTTGAAACAGCAGCTAAGTAAAAGAAAAAAAAAACAATGTTTAGTTTTCTAACAAAACTTTTTTCATTTTTAAAATTAGTGGTTTTGGACGTGTTTATACACTTAATCCAGCATTTCGTGCAGATAAAAATTTAAGTCGATTTCATTTAGCAGAATTTTGGATGTTAGAAGTTGAAGTTGCTGGTAGGTACAATTATTTAAAGCTCATCATTAGAACGTTGACTCTAACAATAGACAATTAGTAGACTAGGTCTTTTCTTTATTACTTCTGCCTTCTAGTTATCTTGCGATCTCGAGTACTGCCTAGTGGCAAACTCAGTACATTATTGCCACATATGAGCTATGAGAACACATGTATGTACCAACGTAGTCGATATACTATAGAACAGATAACCTAAGATAAGTATTCGTTAGTGGCTTATTGAAGGTTCTTTCATGGCTTGTGACATCAAGGCTTAAAGATAGTATCTTACAGATACGTGTCGTGCACCATCGCTACTCAGTCATGACAGAGCTGAATTAATATCGTTTGTGACATTGAAGATTAAAATTAGGGATAACCTTGCGCTCTTTTTTGCCCGTTTCTGGTTCTTAAAGGCGCCAAGTAGAGTTTTGCTAGGAAACCTTAGTCGTTCATAAGGCTGCATCCTGACTGCTGCTAACTCCCATCAAACTTTATCTCAATGGGCTAAGAATTCGTTTGAACATCCTTAAGACTATATTGCCGAAATAACTCTAAACTTTTCCAAAAATCTTAGTTTCTTTTTGTTATGACAGAAATACGTAGAGGCTCAGAGCCAAAATTGGAGTTTTGACTTTCAGGTTCTGTAAATCTGGGTAGGATAGTCAACAACGTAAACGGCTGATTATACCTCTGAAGAATAATTATAAAGGGCAGCAGTAAAATTTTCAGCTCGCTCGAACAATGTTAAATGAAGGTCGTAATGTTCTAGAATGCGAACCTAGGGAAAAGCAAGGTTTTCCAGTCAAAATTCACTTCAGATTATCTTTTCAACAACTATTCGTCATAGTACAGAAAACTAGCGAAACTTTACATAGAAAAGAATTAATATCACATAGAACTGATCCATCGTGAGAAACATTAATAGTGTAACTGTCATGAATAGAAAAAAGACCATTACGATGTCGTTCCAAATGATTCCTGATTGATTTTTCTCAATCTAATGTTTTCCGGATTTGATCCATTTCTATATTGGCCATTTTTCTCAACTAATTAGGAAAACTGACATGAGTGGCAAAGATAGTTTATTAGTGCTTCCACACGTTGAAGGAGTCTGGCATATGGCAGGAACAAAGAAATAAGAAAAAGAACAACCATACCATAAATAGACTGTATTTCTTCGCGAAAAAAAGCTTTTATCGTGCGACCCGATTTCATGGTCAAGTATACTTTGTCGAACTCTCTTCTCTCATACGCTTGAAATAGGTCCAACAGCTTTTTATTATCAATTAGATTAATGTTTTGCGTTGTAGAATAACTTGTGAATATAAGATGTTATCCTCATTAATCTTGATTGAAGATTAACCATGGCCCAATTTGGAAACAATTAAAATGGGGCAATCTATCTTAATTGTCAATCAAGAACGAACATAGAGGTAGAACTATTTAAAGAACAAAATTAAACATGTAAAACCAAACAATAAAACTTTGTTTTTTTTTTCTACGGAGTGTATCACATTTTTTCAAAATTGATAATAGCTTAGTCAATTTATTGAACTATCTTTTCAGGAGTTATTTCGAGTTTGTTTTCGGTCTCTTTAATACACTCAATGTATGAATTGTCTTATTGAATTTTATCATTGAAAATCAATTGTAAATGAATCACGAACCCTATATCGAAAAACTTATAAATAACACGTAGTGTAAGTGCTTTCTTAGAGATAAGATTTAGTAAAATGTTTTT